GCGTCAGCTTGTCAGAACTGCTTCGTGTAGATGACTTCGCATAGCATCTGCGTAGTGAGTTGCTAACCCTGAGCCTCAGTTAGATTTAGATGAGGAACATGAAGAAAACCTCTTCATATCTTCATAATTAGCTTTGCTTCCATGTCACACAGTGATTTCTTACAATCGTTTTCGCCGCAGACCTGGGGCGTGTCAGAAGTGCCGGATTTGGCGCGGCGCCAGTGCGTTCACAGCAAGTGATGTCGCTTGCCCGCTTCAACGATTGCTAGATAAGAAACTGACACCGCACCTACACAGCTCCCTTGGCGCCTCTCCTCTAACCCCCCCCCCCCCCTCCTCCTGACGACTTTATGCTCGGGACAACTTCACAAAACCCCTCTCTCAGCGGCTTAGTCAAGACTTTACGTCGATGACACATGCTAAGTCCTACCCCTCTCCTCATACTCCTAATCTAGCATTATTCGATACGCCACACGCCACATGACCATGCTGTACACTCTGTTCGTCTGCGCACTCTTACAGAGGCAGTATCCGATGGACTTGGTTGCGGCCAGGGAGCTCAATCTTCAGAGCTGTTTTTCAAACTCTATCATTCATTTGTCAAAGAGTCAGATCCACCCGAACCTTACAAATAGAGACTAATAATACACTAATACTATACTATATACGAATGCGGCTGAAGATAAACTGGAGAACAGCCCTTTTCCTGGCTCGGACTCAAGAGGAAAAGCAACTGATGTCCATCTGAAAACTCATTAAAATTCATTCCAATTTTCGAAATTCATTAAAATCTATTCGTACAGAAATAGGGCAAATTTGAAAGACTCTACATTAAACCTGAATATAGTTGAGAATTGATAAACATTATTAGGGAAACATCCAAGCACAACCTGTCGGAACCATCACTAAACATCATAACATGTCTAATTTTTCCTGACACCCTCGTAGAAGCTCAGCTACTGCTCATATAAACAGAATATACATAGCAGTGAGGTGCACAAGAAGTGGAGCTCTTTCTACAATTCTATAGCTGGAGAAAAACTGCCATCGGAATGAATTCGTTCAGAGTTCCCTTCCATGTCTGTGATTTGGATATAGTGATCAATCGTTCGTCGTGAGAGCCATGAATGCCGGTTGCAGAACACAATGTGGTACCTGAAGGGGCAACACAGAGTTTCATTTATTTCTCAAGAGACCTGAGGACATGGCACCAAAGTGGTGGCGCCCTGTATGGTTATGGTTACGAATATGTAAGCTCGAGCCTAATTAGGTACCTGCCGCTCTTCTGACAAACCACAGAATCCTCCTCATGTACCAATTTAGCACTCAATTTCAGCCATGGATAAATCATTTCCATAGACTCGATATCCAAATGATGCTCGTTTTTCGCATCAAGTTTGCTCTAAAAAATTGCCATCCGAAAAAAAGTGGAAATAATCTCAGGGGAAGCATATTCATTTATTTATTTACTTTACTTATTTATTTATTCACTTCTTTCATTATAGTCAAAGGTGTGCTCAAAGATAACCAAACATTATGACTCGTAGAAAGTGGCTAAATAGCAAAATGCAATAGTTGAAGGATTTCTATAGAAGTTCGAATGACGTCATCCATGTAGAGGTACCGTTCTTGATATGCACGACGTTATTCAAACTAGTATCGACCTCGGGGCTTCTTCCCACTTCAGACGCGGGAAAAAGTCTTCATCTGCAATCATGAATCCCAGATTTGCACGAGAAGCCCTTCAAATACACTCTCCGAGGCTACCGCACGCAAAAAAATATGTGCAATTGCTCCACATAGCTCCATTGACTTTCCTTTGAAGTATGTGTTCACACTGTATACACACAGGTACAGTCGTCATCCGGGGACTTGATTAGGGCGACAAGGGTCGCGACGCGGCTGCGGCGCGTCACGACCGCGGCGATCAGCTGTTTCCAGCCTAATTTGGCCATTTTCTCTCCTAATTTTCACGGTGTTTTCTATTTCTTGAGGTTTATTGTTTATTGTCTTTATGAAGTACATTGCAACGTAGGGTTTTTTTGTTTTTGCAATAGAGTGTTTTTGCGATTTTTTTCAGGTATTTGTTCAATTGTCTGCTTAACTGTTTGATTGTACGCAAAAATCAGAGGAATCTCAATCATAATTTACCTTGTGAAGACAAGGAACAACTAATCGTGAGAAAAGCAGCCAAAACAGTGTAAATTAGGGAGAAAATGGCTAAAATAGGCTGGAAACAGCTGATCGCCGCGCTCGTGACACGCCGCAGCCGCGTCGCGACTCCTTCCCGGATGAGTTGTACATGTAAGGTAAAAAATGAACACTCTTCAAAAAGCTGCTTTGCCAAAAGGTGACGGAAATAGAAAGCAGCGTCCTAACCATGGTCCGCGGAGGGGTGTTGGGGTTACAAGATCCCAGAGGAAATTTGTATTATCGGATACCCAACAAAGAGTTTCTTAGTGCTGCTGGTCATCCCGACTTGCCGAACACAGTCAATAAATAACCCGGTGGAATCAAGACACCGCTACCAGCTTGATTCTACCAGGTAAAAGGCCGTGACTACCGGAGCCCTGACTCCTCCTTCTCCTTTAGTTAAACGGTTCTTTCCCCGCCCCCAAGCAGCTGTCCCGAGCCCTGCGCTGCACAGAAACGCCAACTCTTTCCAGTCCCGATCTTCAATCGACAAGTCTCTTGAGCTATCCAAGTTCCTGAACATGAGAGAGCCTGGAAGGTGTCTTAAACAGCTCTACTATCACATTCCAGTATCTCCTTGGAAGACGAACCGTTTACCCACTTCTGTGGATCCTGGTCCTTGCCGTGGGTGGGGAGAACGTGTCCGCATCTGCAGTAGCGTACGACCAGGGCACATCATTAGTTAGGGATTTTAGTATCCCCGACCGCTGTGCGACCCCGCCCTTTGGTTGGTACGACCTGTCCCCCCTCCCGCGCCCCACTGTCCCTCCTCATCGAATCCGATCCGTTGAGGCAGAGTCTGGGGGTGCGATTAATAGTAACGCCCATGGAAAACAGAAAGAATCGCAAAAAAGTCACCCACACCGCCCCTCAACGGCCGGTCTGCCAAAACGAAGTACGCCGCCACTGACCCATGTGACGAGCCCCCCACCCCCTTTTAACAAAACGTCCCGTGAAGGCAAGAAAAATCAAACTATCAGAATTAATCCTCTCCAGACCCTCTCCGGCGGGTGTAAATACGGACCCCCGCCCAGGGTGCCCCTGGCGGTACACTTGTCTCCGCTTCGAAAAATGCACTTGGAACGAAGACAGGATCATGAGTGAAATCAGGTAAGCTTACTCGCTCATCAACCCGGGCCGTTCAGGTATAGTGAAATCAGGTAAGCCCACTCCACACTCCGCCTCGCGCAGCCGCATGACCAGCTAGACGCCCAGTAGTAGCCAATCGTACAACTTATCTGCGCCCTCTCATTTCTGGCCGATTTCACACTGAGTACTTGTTTCACTGCGGGACCTTAGCATTGACGCCAATGCTGCACTATAGTGCACTTGCAGCATGGAGACGCACCCGGCTACTACTACCCTATAGCTTAGTTTCCGTGCACTTCTGAGCGAAGAAAGTGGCACGCTACTGCAGCTGCGATACACTCGCTTCGCCCAGGCAAGGACCGTCCTCGGAGGTAAGAATGCAGTTTGTTCTCGAATGTACGACCCACGCTTAGCGGGTGGGCGGAGAGATTCCTACAGTTGTGCCTTTCTCGTTGTTGAGTTCCCGTTCACAAGACGATAAAACAAAAGACTGCACCAGTGAGAGAGAACCAATCGTCATGAGGCTCCTCCCACCCGCCAATCATGCATCAATCCTCGTCATTTGGTGAGCAACAATGTGATACCGGGCTAAGTTCTAGGTCCAGCTTTTTTTCGTTTTATTACAAACAATAGTAATTATAAAATCACAATACTACTGCTGCTATTCCTCACTGACGAGCCACTCCTTTTAACCAGAAGACAGTGCAGAGAAAAGCCAATGGTAGGCCCAGCCCCGCCCATACGATAAACGTGCACTGTGTATCAAAATATCAAAATCTCACCGCATAGAACACGCCAAAATATACGTCGCCATCCGTTCGAAAATACCATCGCAAAGTTTTCGGTTCACAAATCTCCACTGTTATATGGCGGGTCTTTTTGGCAGGAATATGGAGGTGTTCTAGATGATGTAGAAGATCGGGGTTTTCAGGTGTCCAGTATTCATTCGGAAGTACTCGCTCTGCGCCGATACAAGTGATGCCCTGAATATATCGTTCTTAGGTGCTACTCCAGAGCTGACACCGTTGACACCGCTGCTTTTCCCGCAGATAAAGCCGCATTCATACCTCAAGCCGCTGGGGAGTCGGAGAGTTCGAGTTAGTGTTCATCATCACCGTGCAAAACTCGTGGTCACATATGGCAGCTGTGGGAGAGAGATTGTAAACGGCCTTTTCTTCCTTTTTCCTTTTTTGTTCCCTTTTCTCACGCGGTAAACACTCCCATCCTCACCCTCACAGAACGCCTAGTCGAGGGCAAGGCAGTCTTTTTTCGATGGCTGTCGGGAAGTGCAATCTTTTAGGAGATTTTCTGGTGGAGGATGGTAGATAGGTTGCGGAAGTGGGTAGTACTATCCATAAGACCCTACTTTGAGGGAAGGGGCGCACCCTACAGCATATAGAATATCCGTACTCGCTCTCTTGTTGATTCTCTGACTTTCCTTCCAAATGTGCAGGTAGCTGGGGGAGGGGAGGGGGAGGGGGAAGCAAATGGCTGGCGATGTTGCTGGCTACACCGCCTTCCCACGTCGTTAGGAACATTGGAATGACTACATATGCTACTTCTCTACTCGTTGAGATGGTGCAGACAAGCAGATATAATATGGTATTGTGGCCCCAAGTGTACCACCCCCTCCAAATACCTTTGACCCCACTTTTTCCGTATATCTCCAAAGGCCCTTCAGCACAGAGGTCAAACGCGGCATAGCTTCTGCAAATTCCTCATTTTACCTCATTGCTTCCACCCAGTGTGGTCGGAATGTAATTTACATCGATGTCCTCCGTTAAAGCTTTCAAGAAGTTACTATCGTGAAGTCGGAATCTGTCAGAAAATCCTGCTGGCATCATTGTTTTAGCGATTTTATAAGGCACATGAATCCATCTTGCAATATTGACGATGTCGACTGGAGTCACCTGAAATAATAAAAATCAGACCATCAAAATCAGATTTTTTTAAATTGAGCCATAATATAAGGCTCCATTTCTAGAATATTCGGGCCAAATTTGTATCGAAAATTGTTTTTGGGAATCCCTGAACCTTCCATTCAGCGTGGAAACTCCCGAATTCTACAGTCATGCTTCCTGCGGATGATAGCGTGTGTCAACGAATTGAGTTTGGCGCGCTGCTAGCCCGTTCTCAACCGGGATACGGGCAAGAGAATCGGAAATTGCCGCTTAGTCGCGTGCGGCAGTGGGCGTGACGCTTCCTCAATTTCCACTACGCTTTCGGTTGTAGCATCGGATTCCATGTAAGAAGAGTTTGTGGACACTTCTGTCTATTTTCGGTAATACATTGCGTATTGCCGACCAGTGCCACCTAGCATCGTCGTCATAGGCGAGCGCGATGTCGCACGCCGAATGGTGCGGCGAATTAGGATTCTCTTGTCACATACCCGTTCGCAACCAACCGTTCTCGCTTGCACTTTACAGCAATCAATGGAGAACAGGCTGGCGCCGCGTCAAGCCCAGCAGCACTCACTCCCCACTAACACTTTAACTCGACGAAATAACGCGCTGGACCGCGTACTTCTGCCATGTCTGCTGATAAAAATAGATTTTTTGGAAACAACGGCTTCGCCGAGAGTAGAAGCGTCATCCAATGGATAATCACTTTGTACTGGTTAGCGTAATATTAATACTCACGAATTCAAGTAACTTACAAGTTCCGGATAATTTTCGTAATGAAACAGTTGCGAATAATATGCCAACGTTCCACTGCTAACGAAATACCATTGTAAAAGGGATTGATTTCATATCCGTTCATGTCAATAACATGTCGTATCCCACTGAGCCGTCCGGTTTTTTCCTCCTGCAATTTTTTTTACAACTGGGTACTGATTCCAGAACAGCTACTGCCTTGTTCGCTACGTGCCTTTAGAAGAGGAGCTTAGCTTGGCCCCAGCCCAACTTACACCATTTTGTTGTCGCTTGTTCTCTTCAAGAAATGATGGAGAAGGGGATGGCGTCGTGCCAAAACCAGCCCCTGACACACCCCAGCACGAGTAGCGAACAAAGCTGCGCAATGTTCTGTATAAGACATTAATTATATTTTTTCGCTGATTTGTTTGTTAGTGTTTGGTTCAGTTTTAGTTTTAGTGTAACTTTCTATTTATTATTTTTTTGTTTGGTTGTATTATATTGTTTGTAGCTATGTACCATATCGCTGCAACGCGATCGATTTTAGAAGGGTTGACGTAAATGCGCTCCAGTGACAAAAACTACGGTACCGAGTCCCGCAACGAAATGCGCCTTTTGGCGGGAAAAACCCGCTCTCGGGCCCAAATGGGCCGGGGCCCACAAATCACCACTTTTCCCACGACGCCAGGATGCCGCCAAACCCTCCACGACGCTAGGACATCGCCACACACCCCCGCGACGTAGGACGCCACCACTCGACGTCAGGACGCCGAAAACGGGCCGTATAGAAGGGGGGAGGGGGATTTCATCATTATTAGGTCGTTTTATCATGTGCTAATTTGTTCGCTAATGTTCGTCGTTGTTTATGTTTTTGTCGTTTGTTTAATTACCCAAGTTTGAGGTCGATTGGCGATAAAATTGTTTTGGTATTGTTCTGTGCGTCCAATATTACCGGGAATTATCTCATACCATTTTCCGTTTGGATTTTTTATTAATTAATTCGTTCTCTTGAAAACTTTACATACCATGCAGCATAGAAGGTTATTAAAGGCAGAACCCGCGATCATTCGCCATCACAGATAGTGGATTAGGGGTTCGCGTATCCTACTATATATAATCGGCTAAGTGTGTCTGTGTGTGTGTGTTTGTGGTGTCACGAAATTCCTAAATGTCACCCACCAATGGTGTTCCCGTCACACCCCCTCCATCACTTCCTGGAATCAACGTGTCTCTGCCACTGGGATGTGATATCAGCTGATAAGATCTGATAATGAGCATTAGAAGGGAAAGACTACCAAATTCACAGTGCGGCTCACAGGAACAGTGGGTCCTTGGATCCGAGATATAGGGTGTGGGACGGGAACATCATTGGCGGGCGACAGAAAGTGATAACAGTTGATAAGATACGATAAGCGGCCTCGGAAGGGAAGGGTCATCAAATTCGTAACGCAGGTTACAGCAACAGTGGGACCTCAGATACGTGAGGTGATATAGGGTGTGGGACGGGAACATATTGGCGGGTGACAGAAAGTGATAACAGTTGATAAGATACGGTAAGCGGCCTCGGAATGGGAGGGTCGTCAAATTCGTAATGCAGGCTACAGCAACAACGGGACCTTGGATCCGAGAGGTGCTATAGGGTGTGGGACGGGAACATTATTGGCGGGCGACAGAAAGTGATAACAGTTGATAAGATCCGATAAGGGGCCTCGGAAGGGGAGGGTCATCAAATTCGTAACGCAGGTTACAGCAACAGTGGGACCTCGGATCCGATATGGGGTGATATGATAGTGATACGGGACGGGAATATTATTGGCGGGTACGGAAGTGATAGGAGCTAAAAGTGACAAGGTAACATGGGAAAATCCGCTTCACCGCTCACAACAACAATGCGATCGATATGACTCAAGTATAACGATCTCAATGATTCCAACAGAACTCATTCCTCACTGCTTATTAGTAACGACATCGTGTACGACCGCTAAGCCAGCTCTATTCCAAATGCATGTGGTTTGTTTACAGAGATGTTATGAACAGCAGCAACTGACTTTATCACTCTTACCACAATTATCTTCCATCAACAACTTCAGTGAGGGCCATTTAAAGGGTTCCACTGCTGAATGCGGTAGTGCATTCCAAAGCAAGACGCTTTAGGAAGACAGATTGCATAAATTATAGGCTGCTTCAGTGGCTGTCCAAACAGGCTGCACTATTTCCGTGTAGGTTATGAACGTACCAGTCGGATCGCTGGCTAAGGCCGGCTCCTCCTGTGATGCGGGGGGGGGGCGCTGCTGCTGCTTCTGCGCCTTGACGGAACAAGCGCTGCTTTTCAGTTCTTGGCTGATGCAGAAGATTCCTTTGAACAGTGTGGTTGGTCAACGATCCTTAACTTAGCACGCGGCAAATCCGCATGGCCGGCGAAGCCGGGCCATGTCACAGAAGGAGGAGCGCCCGGCGACAGCCGGGCGATCCGACTGGTAGACTATAAGGTGCTGAGTAACTCGATAGTGAAGAAAAAAGCAGAAAAAACTCGCCACCTGCCCTAGATAGAACCCCACATTCGATCCCACTTTGAACCTTACCAATGAACTTCATCTAAAACATTACGACCTTATCGCATAGCTGATTCCCCGATAAGAACTCTACGACCGTACAAATGACGATTTTCATAGTTTTTCTTCCCGCAGCTTCGTTTCCGGGCGGGGGAAAGACGGGCTTTGAGGGCGGAGTCACTGGAAAAAAGGAGGCGTCACTGAACCTATATTGCGTTATAGCGCCCCTCCCTTACAATTTTTTGCCGCAATACCGTTACGAGGTTGTTCCTCGCGACACTACCCTCCCGACACCATATAACTTCTATACGTGACCGCGGGCCGAGCCTTCAAGTGACTCACAGTGAAGGACATGAAACAAAACAGGATAAATGCAGAATCATAAGTGAAAGAAAACGTGAGGTCATACTCAATTTTATTTTCTTTCAAATCGCAGATTCCTGTTGCGTGGAAGCCACCTACATGTGATATTCATAACCCAAATCTGAGCCTGTAGGGATCATATTCCTCCCGGGACGAGTTCTTAGCGAAGTTCACAGCAGAAACGAATTGAGATAAAAATCTGACCTAAATTCGCTCTGTGGCGTTGCAGTGGGTGCATGGAGCTAAAAGATGAAGATTCGCGATTAGGGAATTTATTTCCGATTGCGCCATGCAACCTATTTCAATTAAGAACAGCAGTGGCATTCGAAAGCCATTAAGTGATTTCATTTTTGCAATTGCTGCACCATTTAGTCAACCCCGGAACTATAGAAGATTTGCCTGAGCTCTGTACCGGGTTCAAATCCCGAAGAAGCGGGTCGTAGGCGGCTCCACTTACCACTAAACCCCCAAGACTCTCATAGTCATGATATTAATTAAGTTCCGAAGGAAGAAGCAATAGCTGTCATACCAAAGAAAAACATAGTCGCTTGTGAACTAATTTCATTATTATTTTTGATTTATTTGGGTGCTCTTCGGCGTCTTGGTGAGGGCATCAGATGGTATTCAGCTAGTTTGTAGAGGCCACCTTGTGAAGACCTGTAAATTCCTGTGACTGAAGTGGCTCGTGGTAACTGGTTAGTCAACATGCACTAAAAAAGGCGCTAATGGGTGCGCAAATGGCCCCTCGAAGCCAAACAGCGCTTTTATTTTTCATCTACAATGTAATACATTCACTTAATTGTGTAAAATCTACAATTTTAAAACTGTTAAAATGTAAAATTTTTTCGGAGTAAGACAGAAGAAGATCGTAAAACTACTACTCCCACTCTTACCTGTGCCATAACTTTGCGCAGCATATTTTCGAATTGCCAAAATTGGTATTTGCAGGCTTGTGAGCTTTGTATAACATGTGCTATGCTCTGAAATGTTTCTACTTATTTTTTTATATCTCCAAATTATTTCAAATTTTTGGTACTTACTTTGTAGCGACAAGGAAAAAAAGGGCTAAGAAAACTTCTCACCTCCACAGTGACTGTGGAATATTCAATATACCAAAGTAGACGATTATGGTTGTCGTGTATATTCAGTACTTCTCCCCTTGGCATCAGTTTCTTCACAAATAATGGGTTCTCATCGTAACCTTTCACGGGCTGATTATCCTGCAATTTTGGAAAACTAGAAGCAGACAAATCATCGGCTTATATAATGAAAAAAATAGGTTTTGTTGGAGGTTTTGTTGGGTGGCTAAACTTCCCGGTTAGTCATGCAACTGTTCCACTTTTGAAAATCCACCCATAGAATTTTCGGAAGGACGTTACCAGCTATGGCCTCGCATATGAGCTCCAAAGGATTAGCCTTGCCCTTTATATCCTCCTACTGAGGGGCTGCTTCTGGCATAAAGGGTCATCAACCAACTACATAAGCGCTCAGTAGAACATCTTCTTGACTTGAAAGCACGGTCCGCGATCAGGTATAGAAGTTGAAAATATGGCGTCGGAGGTAGTGTGGTCCGCGACGAACAACCTTGTACCGGTTTCGCGGCAAAAAATTGTAAGGGAGGGGCGCTGTAGCGCAATATAGGTTCAGTAACGCCTCCTTTTCTCCAGTGACTCCGCCTTCGAGGCCCGCCTTCCAGTGAAAAACGAATCTGCAGGACGAAAAAGCATGAAAATCGTCACTTGTACGGTCGTAGAGTTCTTATCGGGGAATCAGCTGTGCGGATGAGGGCGTAGTGTTGAAGATGGAGTTAACTGAGCACGTACAAACTGGGATCAGGGGTTCTATCTAAGCAAGTTGGCATGTTTTTTCTGCTCTTTTCTTTACTATCTGTGATGGCGAATAATCGCGGGATTTGCCTTCAAGGAAGATTATAGAACTACAAGAGGGTTTAAAGGCGTGTCGGACTCAAAATGCGTCAATCTTCTGCCCTCGTCTGCGCTCTCCTGCCCCGCCTTGGCATCAAGTTACTTGCTGACCCGCTTTCTAAATTTTCACGACGCGTGGCTAACAATAAGAGAAGGCTGAGAGCGTCCCCTAGTCTGCCTAGCGGGTGTGGCTACGTCCACTTTTCCAGACCTTTCTCTTCAGTAAAACCAGTACCTACCCAGTATCCGTCAAGGCCCTAGCACAACCATGTCAGAAAGTTCAAATCGTGCGTATCCGCGAGCATATCAAGTAGAAGAGGAATTGCTGCTGTAGGTGCGCTACAAAACTCACAAGCTCCCCTCGAGCTGATTTTTCCACCACTTCATTCCGCCACACTGCAGCCCACCAAAAAAACAGCTTCACATAAGATGCTTTTGACGCATTGGTTTCGTTGCTTCCATTCCATTTACTACACACATCCTTATAGAATGAGATGTGCAGTCAAGGGGCCCACTTAATAAAATAGCTACGACATTGGCGCCGCAGCTTACTGTTTCGCCCC